CTACTCCTACCCATTCCGTCAACTAGACTATCATTCTCAAGAATGAGTTCCGTGACCTGGGTGGCGAAAAACACAGCGAGGCAGGAGAAGGTCAGGATCAGCCCGTAACTGTAGTAACTCATCGCAAACGATCCAGACCCTGGACAGCTGAGGATAGCTCATCGTACTTTGAACCGGACGACCGGATCTGATCTCGCAGCTTTTAGCTACAGCTGATCAACATCGCCTCATGTACGATAAATTCAATATGTGAAGCCTAAGTGCTATTATGCATCAAAGCATCACTCTTTTCAGCTGCATACTTCATTGGAGTCAGCCTTGGATCGCAGATTAGAATCCATCCAGCTGATCGGCGTGCAGCTGCGCTGGGGCTCTCTGAAGTATCAACTGTGATGGGTGCATTGGGGGGGTGGACCTCTCGATGCTCAATCTCCCAATGCGGTAATATGTGTTTTGCCTACTGTAGCCATGGATCAGACGCCACCCCTCCAGGCATACATCCAAACATTTGTTCCATACATGATTATTGCTTTGAAGGCGATATTTATTGTATCATACTACGACTACGAGTACTGCGGAGTATGCTAGGAGTCGGTTACGGCGTCAAACCGATCACACGTTCGATACAACCCTGAGTCGCTGTTCCAAAGCCTGGAGATCTAACAGACTAAAGTACTCAGCCTCTCAGGGCACTGCGCCTCCGTCTAGGTGGATTCATCTTCGATGTTCACTTTAGTGTTCCATCACAAAGAAAATAGCCTTCCCGGGGAAATTGCGTCTGATGCTTCCCCGAGTGACCGGAGATGAAGTATCGTAAGACTGATGGCGTCTGTACTGTACAACGGTCATCCGCCATGAAGCGACAGGCTGTTGCGTCTCTTTTTTGTGCCTTCAATTGAGTCTAAAGCAAGTCGAGAGACACGCAATGCTCAAGAGGGGAAACCCGCCGCCTTGCCTTACTCTAGAAGTCCCGATGGGGCACAGATGCAAGCCACTTCCATGAGTTATTCCCCGAATAACAGAGACCTAGTCGTCCGGGTGGGATGGAAGATCAGATGTTACGGGCAGCGGTGCCATGGTGGCGGTCAGCCACCATGGGTGCTCCATAGCCATAGTTACACAATACATGTCCAGCCACTAACTATTTGTTGCTTTGAAGATGGAGAATGAGAAGACTACCCACGGGTCCAGATAGAAACCACCACCTGCATGAACTGCAACCGCGCACAATGCTATTCCCATCCATTCCCGCTTAGTCTGTGGGCCTGACTCATAGGCTACTTGTTGTCTGCCAACTTTGAAGGTGGCCTCTGAGTTGGATGCCACAGAAAACTGGTGGGCAGAATTCTGACTTGTCCACCGGCCAGTTCATACTTATAGATCAGCAAGGAAACACATGTTGAGATGTTATGTTTAGTGTGGCCCATCAGTGTTTATTCCCCTCGTCTCCATGGGATTTGATAAGGCGATGAGGTAATGCACGTCCCACACACTCATCGGTCAGTATGGGAATGGGTACAGTACGTATAGTCGTTGATGGACCCGAGCTGCCACGCGAGAAATGAAATGCCGCTCCCCTCACTCATAATCAACCTGTCAAACTCGTGAGATCGTTCGATCCTTGAGTCCCCTCCTGGAAGCTCGACCATCCGGGACCCTGCGTGGGACGGGTTGGTGGGAGTGGGATGGACCATGGATCATGGATCATGGATCATGGAGCCTTGTGAGGGACAACTGCCAGTGCCATCTCTAGACTCTATCTAGCAGCACTGGCAGCAGCACCAGCGTCACCCATTCGCATCCACGATGGGGAAGTTTGCAGCCCAGAGGGAAAGAGAAAAACGCGGCCCAACCCCTGGTCATCCCTGCTAGCGCCCGTCTAACGATCACTAGAGGCGGAGTCCAAGTGGAGCTCATTAAGGCTGGACCGTCTGAGGTCCTTGAAGGCGACTGGTATGTTACGGTCTCCGGAGCTTTCCCTAGGACTGATTCGTCCTTAGTACCTCTTGCGACTCTTTGACTGGGTGCCTCTTTTCTCGTCGCTGCCCCCTTTTGATTCGGCTGGATGCGGAAGGTTTAGCCCTAGACAGTCCTTATCCTAGGGTGAACTCTGTCATTGTGCGCACTCGTCAGCGTCGGATGTGATGGGATCGGGTTGGCGATACATTTTCCTTTTCTTCCATTGCTCAATCACTGATGTGATCTGACTCGCCGATTGAACGGAGCGTTGCGCCGCAGGATTTAAGGAAAGGAAAGGAAGGCACAGGTGATGCAGTCAGTGCTCGCGAATGAGAACCCGAGCAGTGATAAACCGAGGATGAATGGCTAATCAACAATCGGGTATGTCCTCCGTTGTGACTTGTTGTGACAGTACCATACCGTCAAACTCCCCTATAAATGGGCGCACTATGGCTTTATAGTGTCTGTTGTAGTGCACAAATAAGTGGCGATTATTGGCTGGAGCAAGAGATGCATACCAAAGAGAGCTTAGCCCCAGGGTGGACAGTTTGGTCCTGGATTAATGACCTCCCTAAGTGAGTTTGGTTCCTCCTCATTCCCAGCGCTAGAAGAGCAGAAACAATTGCTGACCCTTTTTTCCGGGTGCAGCAGATGTGTACCGAAATTACCGTATTCTCCAGATGCTGCAAGCTGCGCTGCGGCCACCGAGAGGAAAAACAAAACATTTACCCAGTGACACGGAATGAAAAAAAAAGGAGGGAAAAAAAAAGCGAGAAAAAAAATAAATCACACAGTAAGGTTTCCCCTCTGCTCGACCATGATGTAATGAATTGCAGCATGAATCCACCTCTCGTTTCTGATATGAATCGAGTCGCTACTGATCAAATGGGGGTGTCGTCATATCGAAAATCCTATTCTGATCAATGTGCTGCTGCATAGTCACGGGCAGGAAAAGTCTTATATCATCAACAATGTTGTGATCTTGACATTTTCGGTACTTTCCCACATGCTGAGATTGCCGCCGGTTCAGGGCCCTGACGATGAGGAACCCAGAGGAGAACCTATGAACTCCTTTTCAATTTCCCTGGTTGGAGTGGTGGACCTCTTCCGTCGCTCGACCATTCCTCACCAGTCTTCGGAAATGGTTAGGGTAAGGTGGAGAGGATGTGAAAGAAGAGGAACACAGCCGTTCGTTACTTTATTCCTTTCCACTGCATTGGGCTTTATTTATTTATTTGTTTTTCTTTTTTTTTGTATGTGGATTGTTGTGTCGGGAGGTTTTACGAGGACCTGGGAGGGTATTTTTGTCTCTTGCGAGCGCGCTCCATCTTATTATTAGTAGCTAGTAATTATTCTAAACCCTCAGCATACGTACGACGAGTTTGACGCAGACAGCTTAGCGGCCATACTAGCAGTCTAGCACGTTAATGGAGCGAATGACGATGGCGAGTTTGATGAATTACTCAAGCGTCAGTCTCAGACTCTCAGTCAATCCAGTTGGTGTATGTATCTACTACGACCGCAGTACTGTGTATGTGTATGTGTATGTGTACACTGTACACAGTGTATCTGCCTGCCTGCACTTGACCAGTCGCGTCCGGTCAAGTCAACACATCAATTGTCGCCTTCTTTTCTGTCTGCCTTTTGTCCCTCACTGCTCCTCTTTTCCCTCTTTTCCCTCTTCCTTTTCCACTTCCCCCCCTCTCTTCATCCACTCTTAGAGCGCCATCAGTCCATCACCGCCCAACCCCCCAACCTCTTGTTGAGTCTTCCCGCATTAACCCTCAGCATCACCATCGCTCCATTTTCCAGGTGTGGTGATCAATCCCCGAGGGGAATAGATCCCTACGTATTTTATCCATGATCATATTCACAACACCACACTATATCTACAAAGCAAGAAAGAAAGCAAATTACATTCAAGAATTAAAAACGACAATGTCCCTGTCAGCACTGTCAACCCCTCAATGAGGAAAAATAAAAATAAGAAAAATCGGCACCTAAATTGCAATTGAAATATAATAATTCGCACTATTATCGGTCTGGGATCTGCACCATCTCATCTTGTCCCAAAATTCGCCCCGTCGTCGACCGCTTCTTCACCTTACCTTACCTTGAAGGTCTCCACGGGCCGGACCCAAGGCCTCGCTCGTCCTGCTTGGTCTTTGCTAGAGCTGTCACCGCGTCAGGGGGGGTTCCTCTTTTTACCTCTTTCTGCCATTTCTGCCATTTTCTGCCATTTCTTACCTTTCTTTACTAGAAAGCAGAAAGTGTTAGACTCCTCTATTCCTTCGTTTAGTTACTCCTCCTCTTTCTTTCCCCCCCCCCCCCCCCCCCCCTTACGCCGGAATCCGAGGAAGCACTTGGTCGGTCGATTC